CCCATTTTTCTGACCCCTGTTCCACAAAAAGTTTGAGGAATTCGTTAAATTTTGGGTCTGTTTGGATAAGGATGAGCAAAAGACTCCTCCAGTTATAGACAAGCAATTCTGACTTCCCATGAAACCCCAGTGTGTTATGAGACATGTACATAACTTGCGGGAATTGTCTGCTCAAGCGCTTTCAAATCTAACGGTCTAGTTGAATTGAAGTTGAAAAGGATTCCACGACAATGGGCAAGGCCGAAAAGGAAAGTTCACCTAGTGAAAAGAAAGGTGGGCTGTAGGGTGCGGTTCAATACACAAGTCGCAGCGAAGGACATGCCCCGGCTACCTACCAAGGTCCTCTCCGCGGCGCTATCGGCGAGGCACGCCCACCAACTGGCTGGTCATTCGCCGCAGGTCTCTCGCTGTTCATCAGGGAGAGCGCTTGCGTTGAATGGAGCAACAACGTTGAGATTCGCAGCAATGCGAAAAAATCAGATTCATCGATGAGGTGAAATCGCGATTTTTTCGGGAAGGATTTGTTCAAAAATAGGATCAAACATGCTCTCGAGGTCCACTCTATCAGAATTTGGTGAACTTTGTTCTTCATTTCCATGGCACATCTTTTGAGTCGAAATTATAATAATACCTCTGGATAATATGTGCATTTTGAACGTTCACCTGTACCACCTGTCGTCCCGTTGATCGTAGATTTGCTCGAGCGGGCACCAGCAACGTCTCCATTCATCCACGGATCTCTTTCACTGAGGGTCCTCTCTCACTGAAAGATCTCGAGCCGGTTGGTGGCGAGGCTACGTGGCGCGACCCCAGGTGGCGGATAGGGGGTAAATCGCGGACCAAAAGCCACCATGTACTTGCCCTGAGACGCAGGTGGATTCAGGGGATGGACTCCCTGTTTCTGTAGTGCTGTGCTGATTCATACCAGCTGTCTCCACTCAGGCGCATACCTGCAGCCCCTTGTTCCGATCCAGGATAGCGTGGCTAACTACCTGGAGGTCTATCCTAGCCCACACGACAGAGCCTGGCAAGCTACTCGTGTGCCTTCAATATGCCGAAAACAGCAATATGGATGGGCCTCATTCCCCTGAACCTGAGGGAGCCCCCAATACGGCAGCGTTGGGTAGGACCGCTCGGGAGAGGCTGCTAGAATCTCAGGGCCCGGATAGGCTGCCTAAACGAAGAAGGACTAAGATGGCGATCTGTACTTTCAACGCACGAACGCTTGCATCCGAAGCTCACATCGAAGATCTGATGATGCAGGCCAGGAAGATCAAGTACGACGTCATCGGACTGACCGAGACGAGAAGGCACCGCCCGCTACACGCCGTTTTCGATACTGGAGAAGAACTGTTCCTTGGAACATGCGACAGCAGAGGCGTTGGCGGTGTGGGTGTCCTCGTCAACACGCACTTGGCCATAAACATCGATTCGTACGAAAGCCTTACGACCCGAATCGGACGTTTGAGGTTAGGAGAACACGAAGCATTCTATATGGAATTGGAGAAGTTCTACAGGGAAGATCATACCTTCTTCAAGGTCATCGTCGGCGACTTCAACGCTAAGATTGGCCCAAGAAGAACGGCTGAAGAACTTCACATCGGTACTCACGGAATGGAATGGAATGAGCAGGGTGAGAGACTGTCGGAGTTTATCATGTCGACCAACACCATCCATGGTAACTCACAGTTCCAAAAGCCCCTCACCTTCGTTGGACTTGGGAGTCACCTGATGGACAGTTCCATAACGAGATAGACCACATCATCTTCAATCGTACCTGTTGGGCTGGTCCATGGGGGGTCGTACTCTTGGGGTCAGTAACAGAAGTGGTATCATGGTGCAGATAGGTAATAGGGTATAGCGCAGCAGAAAATGAAAACATCCGAAAAAAAACATGATATTAAATTTTCTTTGCAGGTTCAGTCGCTCCATTCCTCCACCTTCATGAGAAGGGCGTATTTGAAGGCAGTACAAAGAATGAAAGTGCATCCCCGCAAAGAAGAGTGCCACATGTGCGCACGCTTCTGTCACAGGTTCATCCCGTCTCCATCCGCTAATTCACTCGCTCCTTCTCCCTTAATACCTCGCTGAGAATGACGCTGTTGTTAGGGACCCTGTCGGAAAATCGACAACCGTGAAGAAAAAGAAAAAGCGCTGGGCAAATGAAGTTGTTTTTTAGGTTACAGGAATAGCACAACACACTATGTCTACTACAATACAGTTTCGTTCGAAGGTCCCCATCATATAACACCTTTCAATCGATTCTGCAACTGTGAGTGGAGGAGGGATGCATGGCTTATACCAATACCAAATCGGATGATGACGATTGCTCCTATTCTTATTGTTTGCGTTCAAAGATATTGTTCTAGACACATTCCGAGTGTTGCCAACGAGTCACACTTGCAATGGTGAATGAGGGAGCGGATTTCCAGGTGGCCGGATCCGACCTCGATAGATCCTCGACGCAATTATCTCTTCAACCAAAGCTGTAGAAGAAAACTAAACACATCATGGACGCAAACTCGCTTCAAAACTACTCCCTTTTTCAGACTTACAATATAAGTAGATATATTTGCTTCTGAATTGGGGGGGGGTTGGCGGGGGGGGGGTGGGAGAGGTGGAGTGGGCAACAACTCGCGTGAAAATTTCGGCCTCCTCGACATTTACTCGACGAAATTTGACAGACCCTATCTTTCTGCAAGGAAGGCTTCCAGAGCAATTTCGATGCTTGTTGGAAACGCGAAATCCAGCTCTATCTAACTCTACCTCAAGCTGCTTTCAAAGGTTGTGAAATGGAGGAATGCAACCTTTTCATCGAGGGTGTAGATTCGGACGTTTTTTTTTGAAATTTCGGCAAATCTGACCCAGTGACAATCGCGCCGCAGCTGCCGTTGAATCGGCCTTTGATACACTCGGCTGTTTTGATATACTCAAGCAAGAATCAAGATTGAATCGCAACCCCGTGTCTTCAGGATTTCTGTGCGTTTCTGAACGAACCTCGCCTTGAGGTCACACAAAGTTAATGCCTCTTTCCTCGAGTCGATATTTCAGTATGTACACAAAAGTATGCAGCGATGGGAGACGTGCATAGATGACAAGATGAAGCGTCCTTAGCATTATTTTGCAGAATTTTTTTTGATTGTTTTGATTTTTTTTTTGATTTTTGTTTTGCAGGATTTATTTTAATTGAATTAATTTGCTCTGTTAGAGGGGGTCGTGCCAGGATCTCGATTTCGGGAGGGGGGGTCGTACCTCTGCGACCACGTACTCGACACGATTTTTCACCTCGATGACAGTCCGATATAGCGAAATAGACCACATCATCTTCAATCGAAGGTTTTGCCTGACCGACGTCGCTGTTGTTCCAAAGTTCTACACGGGATCGGACCATCGTCTCCTCCGCGCAAGATTCCACTTCTCGATGCGTGTTGAGAGAGCAGCAAAGTTCAGGAAGCGAAGCCCCAGGACAGTCATCAACTGGGACCACTTCGCTTCCCTCGTCAGCTTATGGGAGGATTCCGTCATCGAAAACATCGACGTATCGGCTCGTTGAACATCTTCACGATTGTGGTTGGAAGGCGGAGAGTTTGAAAGCCACCAAGTCACCATTTTGAATGTTGCTTAAATTATTCAGTATTCATTATGTTTTTGATTAGACAAAATCTACGGATGTCGTGGGGCGCCGGCGCAAAATCGCGCCCTTCCCACGCGACCAAAGAGCGAAAAAGGAAATTTCGCGACATCTGTAGATGTTCCAATACTTGCCAACTTGTTCGCAAATGCACAACCCAGGGTGGGGTGAGATAAACGTTCTAATTCACTGCAAGAAAGTAGGAGCAGTGGACGACGCCACATGAGACGTCTTTGAGGCAGAAAGTACTCTAAAGTCAAGTGGGTGCCTAATGCTCCCTCCTGCTGGTCGGACCGCCCACCGCGGCACTCATCTACGTCGTCTCGCTGATCTGTGTGCTCCCTATTATCGAAGAATTTTATCTCTCATCAGTGCTATTACCACTCATCTGATGTTTTGCTTATTCTCCTTCACATTGCGAATAGAGCAAAGACTTTGCATTTTAAATCCAACGAGTTCTCTTTTTTTTCTAAGAGATGCCGTTTAAGGGAATCACTAGCATATTTGGGTCTGATGTGAAAACAGGCAAGGTATCACACCATAAGAAGGTTTGCTTTATCATGAAATACAGGCAAGTTCGCAGTAGCTCCCATCGTTTGGATGCCCAAGGAATTTAGGGATTGTAGGATAAGATGTTGACGGGATTCATGAACTCCCGAACTTCTCATTTTTGGAAGAGGTTCATCTACCACTCGATCGGGGGAAAGGCTGTGATTACGAATGTCCAATATGTTATAATACTTACGAGGAAAGGTCACCAGGCCGGTCCGGCCATTTGCAATGAGGTGTATACCTACGCATTCGTCTTGAGACGATAAGCTAGAAACCGCTTTTCTTATCTGCTAAACGGTGCTCTGAACGGAGTTACGGAAGTTTTCCCCTCAACACTGTACTTAAACGCAGTATATGAGCGCTATCATTGGAGTCGCCACTATAAGCCAAGCGGGAAGGAGCGTGGTTGACGTGGCGTAAGTGGTAACGCTCCAGGCTTGTAGGCGAGAGGTCATGGGATCGGTCTCTCGTGGTGTTTGTTGTTTTGCCTTTTTGAAAACATGACCAGAAAGGCTTTTAGCGACAGTATCTCCTCAATTGCTGCCTTTACCTGCCTGTGTAAGGAGTTAGGGAGCACCTCTGCGCAGGTTGAAAGCTATTTTTAATTAATATTTGCCATGACTGAAAACGACGCTCATAGCCCACTGATAAGGTGTTTTTGCGGTAAACGAGTATGATATTCGTGTTCAGGAGACCGAATTTCCCAAGTTTGAGAGATCACTGATATGCTGATCGGAGCGCTTGATTTTTGCGAAAACCATTGAGCGTGTCAATGTGGAGTTAGACTTGGAAAAGCGGAATTAATCGTGGATGACAGCTGTCGTCACTATGGATGACTCAGAGAAACGATACCTTTTAACGCTAACTTCCTTATCAGATTCACGTCCAAATTTTACTTTTGCACAGACTGAACAAGAGGATGCACAATCACCAGACGCACAATAGACTCCGCGCACACCTACACCAAATCTCTTCCCAAATTGCCCACTCATCTATAGTGAACCTGCATTGGCTGGACAATATCATCCCACCCCGATGTCGTTGGCGCCAATTTTCGCCATAAGCGACACAGCTTTTCCTCAGATGTACGCCGGAAATGGTAAAAGTTATAGTGGAACAGCTTCAAGCAACGCCGTCAACGATGAGGATGCACAACGGGGGGAACAAGCAACACCAAAGTCATCGATGTACATGTCTGATGTGTCATTCACAACAAGCATTACCGGAGGAGGAGGGCGACAATAGAAATCCTCGTTTTCAACTCGAGAAATTCGAGAACAACATCAAAGAATGCAGCAGAAATACCGTGAAGACACGAAACGAGAACGACGGTTCACGGATCCAGTCGATTTTGAAGGCATTCTCAACAACATTGGTGGATGTTCATGGTGGCGAATCTGGATCTACGTTCTGATCGCAATGCAACAAATTCCTCATGCAATGTTCGATCTGAATGTCGTCTATATGATGTACGATCCCGAACATTGGTGTCAGGTGCCTTGATTTGATGATCCGAACGACACGACCGTCTACGAATGGGGTCTAAAAGATGTGCAAAACATCTCGTTTGTGTTTCCAAACGAAAAGGGTAGAGTAGGAGCTTACACGCGTGATTCGGGATAGCCGAGTGGTTAAGAGGTTAGACTCATGTCTGCACCTCTGAAAAACCGCGAGTTCGATCCCTGCCGAGGCTCTAAACCATGCCTTGCAAAAATGGTTCTAGTACCAGCGTCAGGCCCAGGTTGACAGGCCGGCTGATGAAGACCCCAGTCACACCAACATGTCTAAAGTCGAAAAAGAATCAGTGATAAAGCTAGGACGTCACCCGGAAGTGGCGCGCAGAACCCCCGCCCGAGTTCTGTGGTCAGTATGCGAGGGCTACCGAGGAGTGAACGGCCTCGGCCAAAGAAGCTAGTTCGAATTGGGACTCTGAACGTAGGATCGCTAACTGGGAAGTCCCGAGAGGTTGCTGATCTGATGACGCGCAGGAATATCCAAGTCCTATGCCTTCAGGAGACGCGATGGAAAGGTGCTAAGGCCAGGGAAATCGGGGAAGGTGTCAAGCTCTACTACAATGGAGAAGACACCAAGCGGAACGGTGTGGCCATAGCGGTAGCGGAGTCGCTCAAGGACTATGTCTCCGCTGTGAACAGGATCAGCGATCGGATCATGGCTGTGAGGATAGACACGAAGGAGGGGTACTGGACCATACTCTCCGTGTACGCACCGCAAGCCGGATGCCCCGAAAGTGATAAGGACGAGTTCTATCTGAGCCTGGACGAAGCCATAAGATCGATTCCGGAAGGCGATTACCTGACCATAGCAGGTGATCTGAATGGTCACGTCGGCAGTGACAGAAGAGGCCTGGAAAGGGTGCACGGAGGTAGAGGGATAGGAACGAGGAACGCTGAGGGAGAGAGGGTTCTGGACCTGGCTACAGCCCACGATCTGGCAGTCTGCAGCACGTTCTTCGCGAAAAGGGAGACTCAAAAGGTAACCTACAGCAGTGGAGGGAGACAGACGGAAATCGACCATGTGCTGGTAAGAAGATCATCCTCAAAACTGTGAAGGATATCA